ATTGCTTCCACACTCCCCCATCTCTTAGGGCCCATCCCTCCCCTCCCCCACTCCCAATTGGGACACTTCCCCTGTTCTAACGGCCACAGAGATCTGGCAATCAGGCAATCCTCTGCTTCCTTTCTCTCCCCATTTCTGGGCCTGCCTGAGGCACACCTCAAGACAAGGTCCCACTGGCTACAAGCTGGGCTCTAGGGATCACACTCAAAGTTAGGCCCCCATGGGCTGTGTTCCCCTAGGCTGGGCTCCCTGCCAGGTAAAGCTGATACTGGGAAGAGAGATTTTTGCCTATCCCAGTCAAAGCTTTTGGCTGCCATTGCTGTCCAAAAAGATTCAGCATTGCAGTATTGCTCGTGGGAGTGTTAATTCAATTCTGGGCTTCTGGGGCAACTGTCCAGATCTCAGTAATGGGGCAGAAGCAAGCAGATCAGAAGGCAGTAGTTGCACACTCCTGTGTACTCAACCCTGTACTCAGTTTTTCTGTAGGAGAGTTGAGGGGAGCTCAAGCTCCAGTATTGTGGGGCATGTACAAGCTAGGAAACTTATGTATGACTGTTAGGGAAGGAGAATCACACAGAGCCAAAGGAGGGTTAAAAGGGGTGGACATTGCTATGGAAGTTCAAAGAAAGGAGAAGTCAGTAGCCTCATGGGACTTTGAGGCTTAAGCTAGGACTTGAGGAGTTAGGAAGATTCGAGAGGCAAGAGGGAATTGCAGCAGACGAGTAAGAGTTCAGAGGCTTGTTTACAGAAGACAGTGAATACCCCTCTGAAGCAGGGAGCTGGGAACTCATATTTGCAAAGTATCTACATTATACACATATATTGTACATTAATGCACTTAATCCTTATAACACCTTATGAGGTTGGTTTTATTTCTTAGCTCATAAGTGGCAGAACTAGGATTTAAACCCAGGTCTAGCTGACTCCAAAACCCCTACCAGAGTACAAAGAACTCTGAATGCCAGGAGGAGGGACTAGGCATGATCTGAATTAAGTTGGGAATAAAAAGTCAGGGCAGGTCATTGTAATTTGGCTAATACTATACAGATCTGCAACCATTAATTTACTTATTAAACAAAAGTTCTTAAAAAGAGTCATCTAGCGAGTGACAGTTGACCCCTAACCTCAAACAGGCCACTCTCCTTGATTGACCTCCTGTAGCCCTGACTGTTCCTTTTTCCTATGTGGCACAGGTGAGACCCTACCTTTTAGCATGTGCTCTCCTTAAATGAGCTGTGGGAACTTACCTGACCCAGTTCAGGCCATAGGAGTTCCAAGAAAACAGTTGTCCTGGGAGAGAGGATAAGGTCTGGGATAAAGTACTGGACTGATGCCACCATGACACCTGCATATTCATTGCTTCCTGCCTCCTGGAATGAAAGGCTTTGTTCCTGTCACCTCCTCTGTGCACAACATTTTCCAGTTCGAAAAGTACATTCATTCCCATACTCCCATGCTCGATATCCTCGCTGCTGCCCTTTGAGGCAGGGAGTGCAAGTATTGGCATTCCTATTGTATAGATGAAGAAACTGAGGCTCCGGGAAGGGGAGCGACTGACTTGCTCAAGGTCACGAAGTTGGTTAGTAGGGGGTAATGTGGAGGCTGTGTGATGCATTGAGGAAAACACAGGACCTTGGATGGCAAACCTAGGATTTGTGTCCTGACTCCCAAGCTAACTCACGGTGTGACACTGGGTTATTTTAACTCTGAACTGTTTCCTTATCTGTAAATAGGTTGTTATAAGGATCAAATAACAATACCACGTGATCTATAAAGGATTGTACCTTGTGAGGGCTTTTTATCAACGGGCAGCGTCAGCAGGTGAACCTAAGAGGTCACATTCAGGAATCAGCTTCTCTTTACCCTGTACCACACTGCCTCTGCTCTGCTTGTTTCTGGACACTACCTCACTCATGATCCTTTTCTGGCGTCAGTCCTGTTCCCTTGCCAGCCCGGAAGCTGCTGCCCTCTCCCTCCCCACTCCTTTGAGGGTTGATTTACTGATCCCTGGTTGATAACCACCTCCCTAGAGAGCAGCCTGGAGCCACCGCACTTCCAGTGTCTTGGGCCTTGTGACTGCCTTCCAGAGTTCCCTCCTTGCCTTCCTGCTTGGGCCAGCCCAATGCTGGGCCTGTGGGGGAAGAGTTCCCAGACATACTGCCACACCCATGCCCCTACTCTGTGTGGAACTGAAGATTTACAGGCCCAGGAGTTCTCTCAAAATGCTAGGGTCTGCCAGGTAATTCAGAGGACGCAAGTAACAGCACCAACCCCTACAACATACTCTCCCCTTTCCCCAAGGGAGGAGCCACAGAATCCTAGAAGAAGAATATGTCCTAACTTGCTCCCATGTGCCCAGGCCTTATGCTTTTGACTCAGCCCCCGCTCCACCCCCACCCTACCCTGTGCTCCTGGGGGCCTTTCCTACCCCCATCATGCTATCCCCTCCTCTCACGGCTCTGCATATTTCATTTCATCTACCTAGTGCCCTTGTCACAGACATTTTTCTCTTCATTTCATCTGGGAAACTGACACCCAGGGAGGGTAAAAGTGCCTCATGGCTTGGTTGCAGTGAGTCAGCAGCAGAGCAGAGCTGGGATTACAATTTAGGTCTCTTGACTTCCAGTCTAAGATTCTCTCCACTGCCCTACAGGGTCCTTATCTCCTTCCTGGACCCATTCCCTGAGGCTATCCTCTCTCCTAAGGTTGAACACACACACTTATTTACACAAATAAGATGGAAATATTTTCATGGGAACCAGAGGCAACCTCATAGAATGAAACCATTTCCCTCCCAGCTGGTCCCAGGGGAAGCTGAGGCCTGGGAGGAAGCTGGGACCAAGCCCTGGGTCCGTGTAGGTCCCACACCACCAGAGTTCCTTTTTGCTTCCCAATGGGGGATCTCCCCTATCACAATTTGATTTTTGAGGCTTTTGAACCAGTGTTTGAGAGGTCAGGCTGAGAGTTAAGGGGTTTTCAGATCAGGGTGCAGTCTTGCAGTGTATATAAATCGAAATGGAGAAAATAGGCCAGTGGTGATGGTGCTTGGGTGGAGCAAAGAATACTTGGATATCTGGGTGTATCTAAAACAGGCTGTCCAGCCCTGGCCAGTGTGGTTCAGTTGGTTGGAGAGATGTTGTGTACACCAAAAGGTCGCAGGTTCAATTCTTGGTCATGGTACATACCTAGGTTGCAGGTTCGATCCCCAACCCAGTTGGGGCACGTGCAGGACACAGCGAATTGATGTTTTTCTCTCATATCAATGTTTCTCTCTCTCTTCCCCTCTCTCTAAAAATAAGTAAATGATATAAAACAGGCTGTCCCCTCCCAGAATGCAGGCATCTGGTTGTGAGAGAGAGTCAGAGAAAGGAAGTCACTTACTGGCTAGCAAAAGTCCCTCATGGCCAAGAGGAAGTAGCCAATAAGAGGAGAACCTTTGCACAGCAGTATAAATAATCACAGGGTTTCCGGAAGTTCTATTCCGTTCCAGAACTCAAAAGAGCAGTTCCTCACCCTGAGGCCCTGTAAGCTGCAAAGGGAACAAGGGTAATGGTTGGAGCTGGGACTCTTTCTCTCATACCCCACTAATAATTATAGCAGCCCATTTATTTGGTACTTCCTATGTGCCATGCCTCAGGCCAAACATTTTCTACACATTAGCTCATTTCATACTCTGAGCGATTGTAACACAATAGGCAAGATTTCCCCCATTTTATAGATGAGAACATTGAGGCTCAGGAAACTTAATATGTTGCCCAAGATCATACATGACTAATTGGTGGAGCTGTGATTAGAATTCCTGGCCAATCTGACTCCAGCATGTGTTCTCAGCGATAGAGCTTTAATGGCACTGTGTTCTTTGCCCGAGTCTGGAAGCCCCTGAAATCTTCAGAGGTACATGCCATGGTCTCAAAAAAGCAACAGAAAAGTAAGGGGAAATCAAGTTTTTGTTTTACTCTTCTGTTCATCCCTCTTGGGCTTGGAGGATCTGCCTCACCCCACTAAGGATCTTGAGAGAAGATGCTGATGTCTGGGAGCCACACCCTTTGCCTCATTCATCATTACATACCCAGATTCCCAACCAGATCCTAGCTTTGGCTCAGTCTCCCATATTCCCCCACACTGAGTTGCCAGCCTGGGTATGTGTGGCCAAATAGGGTTTACTGTGCTTATAAAAATAGTGGGGTTAGCTGTCCCTCCTTTCCCCCTCCCCAGGGCACCCTGGATTTCTACAGGACAGCTATCTAGAGAATTGTGCTCCTTACTCAGCAGGTTTCTTATTGTACCTTTTGGATTGTACTCAGTAGCCAAGATGTTGGGTTTGGAGTTGAAACATCAGTGCACTGGGCAGGGCTGGTCCTGAGTTGGGAGCAGCTCTACCCATGGCTGCATCTCAGAGTAACCTAGGACAGCACTGTGTGCCAGAACCCCTCTCCAGTCTACTTGGTGGGAGGGGTCCATATCTGGTAGAGGATCTGTAGGTTGAACCCTGCATTTGTATACTGTCCTTTCGTACCAATACTTCCTGGAGGAAAAAAAGGTAGCCAATACTTACTGAATGCTTATTATGATCAGGTACTGTTCTAAATGCTTTTATGTGTTACCTTATATAATCCTCTTAATAACCCAATGAGGTAGGTCTTATTCCCATTTTACACATGGAAAACTGAGGCCCACTAATCACCAATGAATAGAGAAGTTAAGTAATTTGTCAGGGTCACGCAGCTAGGAAATTGCAGAACTAGGATTTGAGCTTAGTCGGTCTGGCACCAGAATTTACGTGCTCCACACAATATATTTACATATTATAGGGCCAGCCTCCTTATACCTGAGCATCTTTGCTTGATCTCAGAGCCTCTCTTTCATTGTGTATCTGTCTCTCTGGGGTCTGTCTTGATGGGGTTGCAAGATGGTGAAAGGTTAAGAGAACAGAAGGTTGTTTCCCTCTGTGTCTTCCCAAGAGTGTCCTGACCAAGAGTGTCCCTCTCCTCTGTTCATAGGTCATTGCATCCAGAGGGGCCCAGAAGAGAAAGGAGGCAGTGCCTCCACTGCAGCAGCTGCACCCACGATGCAGAGCATAAAGTGTGTGGTGGTGGGTGATGGAGCTGTGGGCAAGACATGCCTGCTCATCTGCTACACAACTAACGCCTTCCCCAAGGAATACATCCCCACAGTGTTCGACAATTACAGCGCCCAGAGTGCAGTTGATGGGCGCACAGTGAACCTGAACCTGTGGGACACAGCGGGCCAGGAGGAGTACGACCGCCTCCGCACACTCTCCTACCCTCAGACCAACGTCTTTGTCATCTGTTTCTCCATTGCCAGTCCACCCTCCTATGAGAATGTGCGGCACAAGTGGCATCCGGAGGTGTGCCACCACTGCCCCGATGTGCCCATCCTCCTGGTGGGCACCAAGAAGGACCTGAGAGCCCAGCCTGACACCCTGCGACGCCTCAAGGAGCAGGGCCAGGCGCCCATCACACCGCAGCAGGGCCAGGCACTGGCCAAGCAGATCCATGCTGTGCGCTACCTCGAGTGCTCAGCCCTGCAGCAGGACGGCGTCAAGGAAGTGTTTGCTGAGGCTGTCCGGGCTGTGCTCAACCCCACACCGATCAAGCGTGGGCGGTCCTGTGTCCTCTTGTGACCCTGGCACTCAGCTTGGAGGCTGCCCCTGCCCCCCTACCAGTTGTGCCTTGGCGCCTTATCTGCCCCTCAGCTGTGCCTTAAGGACTAATTCTGGCACCCCTTGCCAGGGGGCTCCCTGAATGCCTGTTTCTCCTTAAGGAGGCCCACAGGGAAAGGGGCTTTGGGTCCTGCCCCAATGTGCTTGGAAATACCAGGTATTCTTGAGAGCTCACCCAGGCCAAGGTTGGACCCCTCCCCAAGAAGTCAACCCAGTGCCCCCTCCCCATTTCCCCCTACTGACCAGTTGATCCAGCTTTCCACACAGATGTTGCTGCCTATTTTGGTGCCTTCTCTCAGGTTAGGAGCTCTCAGCCATCCCTAACCTCTCTCCCTTGCTGCTCTTCAAATTGCTCCCCCTCAAGATGCTCTCTCCCCCAATGAAGGAGCCACAAAATCCTGAGAAGATGAATGTGCCCTAACTTGCCCCCATGTGCCCAGGCCTTATGCATTGCTGACTGACTCAGCCCACCCCACCCCCCGGGCTCCTACCCCCATCAGCATCAATAAAACCTCCTGTCTCCAGTGGCCCTGGCTCCTCCCTGTGTGCTGGACATTGGGGGTTGGGCAGGGGACAGGCATGGACTAGGGCTCCCCAGAGACTGGGAGCCTTTTGTTTCCTGTAAGAGGGGACAGAAGACAATAGGCTTCATTGTGGCTCCCCCCTACCCCCAAATTTCCCTAACAAAGCTCTGGGCTCCCTTGGAGGGGCCAGTCTTGCTCTGGGGCCCAGCCACAGATTCTATAGTGGACTGGGATGCAAAGCATGAGGAAAGACTTCCTGATCTAGGGTTCAGAAAGGGAGAGGTAGAGAGCCATTAGCCTGCAGGCAGTTGGTCTCAGTGGTCATAAATCTGAGTTGTACCCATACACTCCCAAGGGGAAAGATCTTTACTGTCAGTTGGGGTTAGAACTCAGGCCTTTGCCTCCACCCAAGACTCCCAGGTATCTCAGCTTCCAGGCCTGGAGTCATTACAGGGATAGTTCAGTCACTTCTGCTCACCAAAATTGGGGCTCAGACCAGCCATAGGAGACTTCAGGCCTAAGGACATAGCAAGGCGCCATGTGGAATCATAATCTGCGATGGACTTACTCCATCCTAGAGCTTGTCCCTCACTTGGTTCCATTAAAGAGACGAGCCCCAAGACAAGCAAGCCTAGCCCAGACTATTGGCCAAAAAAAAAATTTATTTTCCTTTGAAATAAATGTACAATCAAGAGCTCAGGGCGTGGGGTAGTAGGGAGGTGGGGGGGGGGCAGTTTGGGGGTAGGAATCTGTGCCTATGACCCCTCCACCCCATGCTTTTGCCAAGGAGGAAGAGTCTGTAAGCCCAAGATTTCAGAAGGGAAGGGAAATCTATGCTGTGCCAGTGCTTTTTCTGGAGCAGGTCAGCCTTCAGGTACAGACCACCACCTCCACCAGCTGGTATCAGAAGCACAGAGCACAGACTGGCAGACAGAGCCCTCGGAAATCATGCAGCCTGCCCACCCCCCATCATCAGAGATGACATCGGGACTAGGCCATCCGGGCAGCCTTGGCAGGGAACTGTGGCCGCAGGCCTGGATGTGCAGAGGAGATTTATTAGACACATTAGTCAAGTGAATGACCAAGTGAAGAGAATGACTGTGGTTTTCAGGTATCAGCCACTGCTCAGTGGTCCCTGACCTCAACGAGAGGTGGCTATGTTAAGGCCAAGAACCGGATGGTGGTTATGAACCTCAGGACTTTTTTTAGCACCAGATGGTGGAGCTCTCCTGCCAGCTCAGCTTCTTGGGGCCTCTCACGTAAGAGTGATGCTGCTTGAAGGTCCCTGTGCCTTCATGTGGGGTGGGGAAAAGGAGATGTGATAGGGCTGGGTAAAGCCATGTCTTGTGCCCTTCCTCCTTTCTCCTCCCCTCCCCCAGCTTCAGTAGGGCCCAGAGAACACAGAAAGTAGGGAAGGCCAGTTTCTGGGCAGTGGGCCCCTCCCCAGCAGGAGAGAAGGGTTTAGAATCGCTTTTCCTCAGGCTGGGAAGTAATGAGAAGCTCCTTGTTCCCAAAGTCCCAGCAGGCTGTCATGTGGAATGCCATGTTGGTTAGGACAACAGTGTACTCCAGGATGGCAAAGATGGTGTACACTGTTGTGAGGAGACAAGGAAGGGCATGGTGAGCCTCCTGCACACACCCTCCCCTGCCGTGGGGCCCCTTGATAAATCACCACCACATCACTACACAGGGAACACACTGCCATATTGCACACTATAGAAAACACACTGTGCTGTAGTCACTGACCATCTACGGATCCTAGCCTGGCCTCACCTCCAGCCTCACAATACAGGTTGTGCCGAAAGTAGACAGCCAGCGCCGTGAAGAAGGAGACGAAGTTGATGATGAAGAGCCGCTGTTTCCAGCTGTAGGACTTCTGATCCTACGGGATGGGCTGTCTGATCACTTTGCAACTTGTTGGATGTGTGTCGGTGCCCTCCCCTCTTAGCCCCAAGTCCTAAGAGTGGGTCTCCCCTCCCTTGGCCATGGAAGGGGGCACGGGCAGGGGCAGCAGGAATTATGGGCATGTTCACATCCCTGCATTTGGGGTATAACGGGGCCAAGGAGCAGTGGTGTCCCTGCCCCTCCCACTTCAGGGGGATGGAATATGAAAGTTATTTGGAGTCAACCAAACAACCCAACACTTTCAGATACTGTGGGAAGAAAAAAGGTGTATGTGTGGTGGGGGGCAAATGGAGTTATTACAGACCATAGACCCTGACACATCTTCCTAACCCACTGCAGCCTGGTGCTGGCCCCATTCTACCTCCATTTGGAGCCTCCATCTCTTCTATTCTCCAGTCTCCCATACTACCCAAACAGTCCTACATTCTGACCAATCAGTCACCCTCCCCTTGTCCCCAAGTCCCAACCCCAGCCCAAGTTCCAATTAGAACTCCAGTTCCCACCTCACCATTAACCGTATCCAGAGGACAGGTCTCCTTGATCTTCCTCTGGGCCACCTGGAGCCCCAGGTATACCCTAGGGGTAGACCGTACCTCCTGACTTACTGTGTGCTTCTTGGTCAGCCGCCAGATAATGCAGGTGAGGAGCATGTGACTGAGGGATGCAGCGATGAACACAATGAAAGCATTTTCGTGGATGGCTGAAGGGAGAGAAGAGGGTTGGGAGCACACATTGTAGGGAGCACCCAAACCCTACATTGAAGGTCAGAGTAAGGGAGGGGTAGGGGCATCCCCTCCCTGAACCCTTTCCCACTCTCCTTCCCTCCTCCAGTCACCCACTGAAGTCCTCGGAAGAGGAGACATAGGTGAGCACTAGCAGCGCGAGGTTCTCGATGATGTTGAGGCTGAAGTTGAGGCGGCAAAGCAGGTGGTATCTAGGACACGGGGAGGTGCAGCTGAGGTAGTAGTTCCAGTAGGCGAAGGCCACCAAGAAGCGTGGCGCTGAGTGCAGGCCGATGCAGAAGCGCCACACGTAGCGCTGGGGCACCTCCCCACCGATGGCCGAGCTCACCGAAGGCAGGTAATTGGGCACCTAGAGAGTTGTGACCCATCTGGGCACTGGCCCTTGCCAGGCCCACCCACCTGGAGATCCTCTCTCCATCTAATCAATCTGGCCCTCAGAAGGCTGTGTTCCAGCCCCTCCCCTTCCAGGAAGGCCTCCTTCAGGCACCCACAGAGCTCTCCTCTGAGACCTCCCCCTTCCAGGTCCCAGCTCCCCAAAGTGCTTGGTTCTCATTCCCCAGCCAGACTGTGGTTTGTGCAGGGGCATATGTGACCACCTCCATCTCCCTACACATGGAACCTACACATGGCTGGGAAAGCTGGTAGACAGGTTCAGAGACTCTCTGAGCCAGTAGTGGAAGGCCCTGTGAGAGGTTCAATGAGCCCCAGATTCAGTCCCTCGACAAGGATGAGTCAGAGACCATCTGAGCTTGTTGGGGCAGTGCTGTATTCACTACCCAATGATCTGTTCCTCTGACTGCTCCCAGTTCTACTTGCTTTTCTGGGCAAGGTGTGCCAAGGTGGTAGAGGGTACTGTGAGATCCTGCGGGAGCTGGGCCAGAAGGGTACCCCACTCTGATCATGTTTAAGAGCATGGATGCTCCTAACCTGTGGTAGTCATCCTGTTGTACATCTCTCCCATCTATCTTTCTAAAAAATGGGTTTCCTCGCCCTTAAAGAATTGTAACATCATTCTTTCAAGTGAGGAAGGAGGAGATAATACACAGCTTCAAGGATTGCTGTGCTGCTTGTATGGGAGGGTGAGAGGGCGGGGGATGAGTGAACAGTAGTTTCCATGGGGATAAGAAAGCCAGGAGGAGGATCGCGTAGACTCCAGGGCCTGGCGCTGCTTCTCAAACTTTAATATGCATATAACTCACTGGGGATTGTGTGAGTGCAGAAGGTCTGGAATCTGAGAATCTGCATTTCTAAAAGATTCCAGGACTGTGGAAGCTACCAGTCTGTTGTCCACACTTTTCATGGACTTTTTTAGACTTCCAACAAGGGCCAGAGCAGTGCCAGAGCCCAGAGAGGGAATGACCCTGCTGTGATTATGGTGGGGCCAGTCTTTAGAGATGGAGGTTCTGCAAGACCCCTTCCTTTTTCCCAATGGGGATGTTGAATGGGCATTCAAAGTAGCTGGGCAGATAGGCATGATGGAGGTAGCTTACAAGGCAGGGGTGGGTCTGGAGAAGCACCAGCTGGGGCTTCACAGCCTTCACAGAAAAGGAGATGGAGTCCCATCAGCACTGTCAGAGGAAACTAAGTGCAAAGCTCTCCGAGAGAGGGTGCTGCTCTCAAGGCCAGGGCTTGAGATACCATAGCTTGAGACCAGGCTCAGATATTCACTCTGAGTATTCAGTGAAGAGGCAGCCTGGATGTTTTAGATACACAAACCTGGGTCTGTATCCCAGCTCTGCCTTTATTAATGGGGTAACCTTGAATAAGCCACTTCACCTTTCTGAGCTTCAATTTCCTCATTGACAAAACAAGGATACCACTACCTACCTTACAGGGTGATTGTGAATACTAAATATATACGTATGCAAAGCATCTGCAGTATCTGGCACGTAGAGGGTACAAAGGATGGCTGTTGAACGTGGGATGGCCTATGTATGAGGGAGAGGAGCGAATCCTTCACCAGATACTTCTGAGACCTCCAACCCTCCTTACTTGACTTTTCTGCCTCTCTGAAGAGGGTTAGTGGGAGTGTTGCCTCCACTTCCTAGAATATTCATTCTGAAAACTCCTGTCACAATCTCAGCTATTTAAGGGGAACGGGACCAGCCTCTAAAGCTTGAATGGGTGAGCCTAGTGTATTTAAGGGCCCAGATCCCTGACCAATGATGGGGAAAAGGTAGAGTAGAGATGGTACAGAGTTGGGGAGATGCCTCAAGAGAAAGAGAGAATTAGGGTCCTGTGGCTGCTACTCCTGTCTTCACAAACTCCACCCAGATTAGGGGTGAGGGCAGAGTTCTAAGAGCAGGGAATGCCTCTCTCATCACACACACACAATCAGTTACAGATACTCACACACACACCCATTCCAAGCACACAAGTTCCCCACTCACCAACTATGCCAGCAACAAGCAACATCAGGAGCTATCAGAAACCAGGTACACAGTTCACCTCAAACTTCACCAGACCTAAGGGTACTGAGAGATGGGAACATAACCCCTTTCCCCAAAAATAGAAATCCTTTGGCCTGGAGAACATGGCTCAGTGGATCTGTGGCAGGGCAACAGAACAGAAATTCACATGATATAAAAGGAGGGGGGCCCAAAATATTCCCTGTCATGGCACCTCAGTTTTCACCATTAGAAATTCATTCTTTTGGCCTCAGATAAAAGTTCCCTGAAATTATGGATGAGTTTTCTATCTATCTCACTGCTCCCTGCCCCTTGCTAACCTGTCAAAAACTCCCACTCCTGTCATTTCCACTTTCTATTCTCTGGACTCCATTCCCTCCTGTTTATCTTTACAGTCCTCATATTAACTCTGTTCTCCCCAGTAGCATGAGCTATTGTACTGGCTCCTCACTGGTCTCCCTACTCTTGTCCCCTGCCCTCCTCTTTTCAGGAGGCAAATTGGTTTTCTAAACCACAAATGTGATCATGTCCCTTTCCTTCTTAAAATCTTTCCAAAGCTTCCCATTGCCTTCTGGATAAAATCAGAAGTTGTCAGCCTCTCCCTCCCCCAAAGATTCTTCTTCACCCCACAGCAACAATGCCCCCTCAAGGAAGGAAGTCTTCCCCAATGTCCAACCTGGGCTATGTGCTTCCTCTGGGCCTGCTATCCGTCCTCCCTTTTATTACAGTAGGAGTCCTGTCTCATTGTGTGGTGACTGTCTGGGTCTAGGACTATCTATTGTATGAATGAGATGCTAAGGGCAAGTCCATGTTCAATTCAATGCTCCTGGCACGGACCCTCTACTCCTGGGTCCTCAGCAAAGGTCTGGTGGACTGCTCTTGGAGGTAGGAAGTCCATCTAGGTTTCTAGCTGGCAGAGCCCTGAGTGGACAGAGGGAGGCCAGAGACAGAAACCAAGCTAGAAAATCCCAGAGCAGGGCTGGGGTTCCTTTTAGGTCAGCTATCCGTTACTTCTCCTAGTTCCTGGCCTCACCTTACCTCCTCAGTCCTGGCTTCCCTTCCAGTCTGGTCTTTCTTCAACCTCTTTCTCCCTCTCATGCTCTCTCTTACCTAGTCCCACACCCTTCCCTCCGCCCTCTCCCCTTTGCTCCCTTGCACTCCCTATAATCCTCTTCTACTCTTGGAGGACTGAGTCTACTCTCTGAGCCTCTCCCCCCCAAATTCCCCCTAACTCTGACTTGCCCCCCCACCATTCTTTTATCCCTCTCCCCTCTCTCTAACCCTCCACCTTCTCTCCTACTCTCTGATTTTGCCCTTATGTCCATCTCCCAACATCACCCTGACCCAGGTGCTGGGGGGCCTGGCACTCACCCCACAGTCAGTGGCCACCGTGTACTCAAAGTGGAACACCAGGGACCAGATGATGCAGAAGAAGAAGCCGAACACGGGGAAAGTGATGAGCCACCAGAGCATGGCTGTGAAGCGAAGCCGGAAGATGGTCCCATCAGGGTCCAAGGGCTGGGAGGCCGCAGAGAACATCCTGTAGAAGTGGTGCCTAGGCAGGGCAAGGGACACAACGTAGGGCCTGGCAGGATACCTGGGTCTGGGAAAGTGGGGCCTTTTCCAGAGCTACTCGGGGTATAGAAAAGAGCCAGAGTAGAAGGATCATAAGGGAGAAAGGAAAATAGTGCAGAAGAGAAGGAGGTGCAGAGGGAAATGGGCAAGAGCAGCAGAGATAGGCAGGGTCAGCTCTTAGGAATCCCCTTGGCAAATGGTCCTATACAGCTATCTCTTGAAGAGTCTGGAAAATAGAGGCTCCTAGTGGCCTGGACATGAAAGCCCTGAAGGCCCACCTCATTCTCACTACCCTCATACCCACTCAGGAGAAGGGTCAGAGGTGGAATGGTTATTATTCCCATTCCACAGAAGGGGAGACTGAGGCCCAGAACTATGCCAGGATCAATCATTAGGACTAAGGTCACTTGCCACCTGACAGCTTAAGGCTCCATTCAAGGCTTTCTTCAGGTCAAGGATTCGAGACAAAGGACCCTAGCTCAGACTGGCCCAAGCCTTCCCACTGACCCTGTCTGACCACATTCCTGCTCTTTACCCATGTTCAACTAGGAACAGTGGGTGTGCCCCAGAACCTACTTCAGTGGGGCCACAGGCTGGCAACCATCCCACCCCCAGGCTCAGAATGATCCAAGCCTCAGGCCAGCAGTATATCCTGATCCCAAGATACCAGGGCCCTGTGAGGCCCAGAACTCTTATCTCCTTTCTAAGAGGACCATGTCTCCCAAGCCAAGGTTTACAGGAATCTGAAGATCATGGGAACCTTCTTCACTCAGCTTGAGCCTGCTGTGCTGGGCCAGACCCAGGACAGACAGACCTGGACCCAGGGAGCTGGGCTTCTTCTGCTCCCTTCTCCCTCTAGGCAAAGAACTCCCTTTCTACCCCCTACTGTCCTGACCACCACGACCTCTCAGGCTGGGCTTCTTTCTGGGGGGGCTCAGATGAAGATGACTTTGTATTAAAACGCCCAGGATCAAATCTCCCCTTGGGACTCATACCTCCCTCCATTAGGGAACCCCAGTCCACCAGTCCAGCTCAGTCTGCGTCTGGGAATGGGACAGAGGAGGGGTTAGGGTAGGGGGGTGGCACACTGAGCAACACTCACACTGGATGCTGAAGGATCCGGGGCTTGGGTTGAGGCTCAATCCAGACTGAGGCTATTCTAAGACTAGAGGATCCCACCCCCAGCTCCCCAGGGCCTGCCCTCCCGCCCACAGAGTACCCAGATCTCCACCCCTGCCCAGGCAGACAGCCTTCCTACAACCAAAAAGGCCACATTATAAATTCTGGAACACTCTGCAAAGGTAAAAAGTGATAGTGGCTAAGGTCAGCACACAACAGCTTCCTTGCCAGGGATGGGGGTGGGGACCTTTCTGAGTTGTGTCCAGGGATACAGGCAGCTTTCTAGAAAGGGAAAAGTAGAAAACCGAACAGGATTTTGCCCCTTTTTGTTGGAGTAGGACTGAGTATGTTATTGTGCCCCACTGGAGAGCTAGCTAATCTTAGGACAAGATTCATGATCCAAAAGAAATCTAGACAGGCCTGAATATGAGCTATTAGTGTCCAGCCTGGACCTATGCAAAAACAGCTAATGACAGCTCAGGCTGTGTTAACAGAGGCATAACAGCCTGTAATAGAAAAGGAATAGTCCTGCTTTTGCCTGTACTGCCCAGGCCTAAATCAAGGCATAGCATGGAGAGAACAGTGACCAACAGTGCCTGAAGGAACTAGAGCTATGCCACCTAAGAGTAGGCTCAGGGATTCCTATCTCTGCAGAGCTGGCTGTAAACCAGGAGGAAAGAGTAGCTCTAAGGCTCCCAAGGCAGAGATTCACCAGGAAGAGAGTGCATGCTCACTATAAGAAACAGCTTGCTAATTGTTAGCTACTAAGCCTCTTTCTTTTGGGGAGGAAGAAAACTCCCATCACTGGGGATGTGCAAGCAGAGGTAAAGTCACCTAATTATAGATATGTTAAACTAAGGTTACTTCTTTTATTCCTAGGGTTGGCCATTCCTGGGAACTTCAGGGTGAAAAATTCAGGGCATATACAAAAATCCCCAGGGGGATCCAACATGGTAGTCCCAGGGACAAGGACAAAATACCCCCAGGGTCACTAGGTCCAGTTCTGCCCAGAGGGGCCAAGTACCCCTCCTATAACAACCTATACCTTAGCTACAGAACCAGTATGCCAAGAATAGGTCACAGATATGCCAGGTATGCTGAGGTTATTGACCCTATTAGCCCTTGGAGCCAGCCATGAGGGGCAGAGCAAACAGCCCACATTTAACTCCCTATGCTGCACAAATATGATTTGCTCTATGGACTATGACTGCATTATATATACCATGCCTTCCTTTTCCCAAAGCACTGGGCTGGGGGTTCCTATTCACCTATTCAACAAAAACTGATTCAGGTGTAGTGCTCACCTTCAAGGAGCTCCCAGTCTGGTGGGGAAGACACACAAATATAAGGTGATAGAATTGTGTGAGAGAGAACACAGGGTACTTTGGGTACCCAGAGGAGGGAGCAATTAAGTCTGCCCCAAGGAAGCTGAAGAAAGCTTTTTGAAGGAGCAGACACCTTAGCAGGGTGTTGCAGGATGAAGAGGAGTTGGCCAGAATAGAAACATTTGATGTATTATCTAAGGTGAGAACTAGGTCATGGATCCTTTTTAATCCTCCCCCTTAGACCACCTGGTCACCCTCTTTCTTCTAGTCCTGTTCTTTCTGATAGCTCGCAGTCTGGGTTTCATCAGACTGGCTGCCCACAGCTCAAGGCCCATGATTAGCCACTGACAAATCAAGAGGGAAAACTTCAAGTCCTATGAACAACAGAAGTAATCCACCCCTATCCCCAGCCAGACTCCACTGTGAGGCACAGCCCCTTTTCTGGAGCAAATGCTCTTTATAGGGGGTCTTCAGAGCTCTCTCTGAGGCTAATGCAAAGTCCATGTTCAGGCCCTGCCTCTTTCCTACCTAGAGCACCTGGGTAAATTCCTCTCCTGCTCTGTCTTCCACCCTGACAACTTCCCTTCCCTCCTCTTCCTTCTGCTCCTCACCCTCCGCATTTCCCAAACTACCTTCCTGTCCTCTACCTGGAGCTCTACACTAGCCCTGAGGAGGAGAGGACAAGAATGTTGAACCCCGTTTTAGACATGGGGAAACTGAGGCTCAGTATCGCTGTCTCAGGTAATATACAGACAGAGTCAGGAGAAAAATTAGGAGTATAACAGAGATCAACACAGGTCTCACCCACTTTACTCTAATATCCTACAGAGAAAGAACCCTCACATCTTTCTTCCTGGCCCAGTGCCCCATATCAGTGTCCAGAGGGTACATGGCCACCTATGGAACCTCAGAGGGCATGGGACCTACCCCAGAATACACACTCATCATCAGATCCCCATCCAGACAGGCACAAATACAGTCTCTCTCACACACATACCCCACTCAAGGCCATGTCCTTTACAGTTACACACACATATACATCATCACATTCCCACAGAGACAGGCACAAGCCCACAGCACAAATGCTCTCTGGCCCAGTCCTCTTCTCTCTCCATCCCCCGGAAAACCCTAGGTCTCCTGAATCTGCCCCTCTATGAAGGATTGGGCTCTGGGGCTGCCCAACTTCAGACCCCAGCTCCCACCCCCCAACAAGCTCCATGGAAAGTAAGAGGGAGATGAATCCTTATGGGCTCAATTTGCAGGCATCCCCCCAGCAGCCCAGTATGTTTGATGGATCCCACTGGTAATCCCATTACAAAAGAACCAGGATCCAAAATAGATCCAATTGGGTGTGAATATGAGGTATCAGTGCCCCCCAATCCCTACCCCACAGTGTGTAGCCGTAGTCTCCTTGAAGTGGAAGAGCAGGGACCAGAGGATGCAGAAGAGGAAGGCGACAAGTGGGCAGCAGACTGTGACCAGGGCCACCATGGTGAGGCGGAGCCGGAACAAGGTCCCATCCCGGTCCAGTGGCAGTGGGACCTGGTACATCTTGTCAGACCTGGGGTTGGAGTGGCGTGCTGTCAGGGTCCAAGGCGGCAAGGCTGGGACTCTGGTGAAGTCCGCTCTTGTGCTCAGTCCTCAGACTGAGCTATGGGCTGGGGAGTCCAAGAAGGAAGCCACCTAGCCCCTAAGCTTGGACAGCTCCTGCCCTGGATCAGGAAGACTAACTTAGAATCCCATGAGAACATTCACCCTCAATTTCAGAGGAAGCAATGAACCAAACCTGTGCTGCAATGAAGCTTGAATAGATTGGGAGACCTCCTCTTCCCTATTCCTGGCTTCACAGGCCTAGGACTACAGGAACTGGTTTAACTAGTCTCTGTTATTTCAGGAACCAATCCTAAAGCCTCCTGGTAGACAGAAAGGTCCATCTCTTCCCCAGGTCCTTGAGCCTTCAGGCTTCAGGGCCTCATATCAGCTCTCACTGCTTTATTCACTGGCCGACGGCCCCCTCTGCACCTTCAGTCCCTTCTCAGGTTCTGTGTGCTCGGTGTACCTGCACCACAGTCCACAGCAGCAAGGACTCCATGGAAACCAACAGAACCTCGACTCCCTGCTTGTCCCCAGCTGCTGCCTCACATGCTCTGAGGGTGAAAGACTTTGCAGAATCAGGCCTGGAGCTGGCCTGGGCTTGCTGTTTACTGGAGAAAGCTGCCTACTCAGCTTCTGGAAGCTTCCCAGTGCCCAGGGGCCTGTCCACCCCCTCTGGAGAGTAGGTAAGGACTCCCTACTCAGATGAGGGTATCTAAGGTCAGGAACTATAATAATTGAATATACATCAGCAATCCTAGCTCAGCAGCCCCTCTGTATAGAAAGAGAAGTTGAGACCAAGAGAGGGACAGGAACCTGCTCAGGGTCACAGGGTCACAAACTACAACTCTGGCCTTCCTTGACCCCTACCTTGGTGGGCCAGAAATCTGGGCAGAAAGATCAGATTAGGTCAGATTAGGCGGGGAGGGAAAAGGGGTACCTGTCTACAGGAGGGAGCAAGGTAAAAACCAAATCCTATATAGATTAGTCAGTCATCCCTGTTCCCATTGTAAAGACAGAGAAACCAAGACAGAGAGAAGAAGGCCCTTCCTCAAAGCCATATGGCTCGAGGGAAAGCCATCCTCAGAATTTAGGCCTCTTGTTGCCAAACTAGGGCTGGTTCCAGATATATAAAGAACTCACTCTTCTGGACTCAAGGGCCTCACCAGATGAAGTCCCAACTCTTCTGGGCCCCACCCTCAGGACTCTCCCTTCTAGCCCCACCCTCCAGAAGAAACTGACTGCCATAGGCTGGCCTCCTAGCATTCCGGAACAAGCCTGGAAAATATGCCTCTGTATTCTCATCTATCTTCTCCCGCCCACCTCTCTGCCAGGCCCTGTCAGGCAGCCTGCCCAATTGCTCAAGCTCCTTTCTTCCTTTAGGGGCCAAGGGTTTTGGAGGGGAGTTGGAAGTGGCGCTGGTGAGCCTCCCCAATCAAACACATTCCTTGGATCATTCTCGGATGGACTGAGTCCATCTGAGGGCAAGGCCCTAGAAGGGGAACACCTTCCCCACCCAGACCAAACCCAGATTCTGTGGTTGTAGCAGTATTAGTCCCTCCTCTCAAAATCCCTCCCTGAAGCCAGCTGCTGTAGATCCTTGAGGAACCAATGGGTTCCCCAAACTGAACACCAGGTCCTCCAGGAATGTATAGTTACTGCCCAAGGCAGGGGGGTGGTAAGGAGATTCAACAAACAGACTTTTTTTTCACTTCTTCTAGATATGCCTGGCTTCCCTTTTAGCTGTGTGACCTTGGGCAGGTCACCTAACCACTCTGGGCTCGTTTCCACAGTTGTTCAACACAGTTGTTGATTTTGTGTTTTAGGTAAGACCATTCCAACTTAGTCATTCAACTCCTTCAGGCCTCAGAACAGGGAACTCACTACCTGAAGGGCAGGTGTTCAGCCCCAGTCAGCTCTAACTTCCTCATAGGTATTACTTAGTTGAAAACTGCTTTCCTAGGAGTTACCCTACCTTATCTCCAAAGATCCCTAAAGATCTTCTCAGCTTCCAGACCGAATCCACAAACTGAGGCTCAGGGAAGTTAAAAACATTTGCTCATGGTCACATGCTAATAACTGACAGCTGAGATGTGAAACTAATCTATTGGATTCCAAGCCCACCCCTGTCCCCTGCATTTCCAGGCACCTAAGGAGGAACGCAGAGCACGAGTCCCGGCGGAGTTAAGAGCAAGCTCAGCCTCTGCACACCGAGGGAAAAAGGGATCAGCTCCGAAAGTCGGGACAGCAGCAATTCCCGGGTAGGGACCAGGACTCCCAGAGTTAGGCACTGGGCCCTGCGGAGGCTGGACCACGTGGCCGAGCTCTCCCAAGCGGGGCTGCCCGGCGGTCCAGCACACCCACCGCCATACTCACCCAGGCTGCGGCTGAGAGGAGACCGCGCTGGCGCAGGCCAGGAGCGGGGGATGTGGGGACTCGGAGGAGGCGGGGGAGTGGGGGTAACCCAGGCCCCGCAAGGGGGTGCG